TAGGACATAGGATAGGGTCTTAGAGTAGGCAGCACATCTCACTTGTAGGGGCCTGGAAGAGTGTACCATTCCAAGCCAGGCCAAAGCTCCTATCTGTACTTTAAAAAATACATAAGGAAGGCCGGCAAAGGCAATGTGGCCAAGACTAGGAATGGGCAAGAAACAGGGAAAGGAGCTTAAAAAATCATCAGTGATCTCATCTTGCTAGATGGATGGATTTTTTTCTTCTGCATTATATTATATAGTCCATAAAACCTAAGCCTGGGGGTCATGGGCCTTGTGAACGTGTGCAGACTGTTTTTTCCGGGGGGTGTTAGATGACAAGGAACCGAGGCGCTGGACAGCAGCTGACTCACATGGCAGAGGTGAGAATCAGAAATCCGTTTTATGCTGCCCGGTTTCTGACTCTGTCTTACTGAAAATAAAGCAAAGGCCTCGAGAATCAATGGGAAAATGTTGGATTATGTTCAGAATTCAGCAAGGCACCAAATGGTTACCAAGTCACTTTGAGCCCTGAATTGGTTTTTGAACCTAATTTGCACAGATGCACTCAAAGAAAGCTCTTTGTTCATCGTAGGTTTTTAAAATATAACATACATATACATATTTAATCAATGACCCCCAGAAAGCTAAGGTCAGCTTGAACACACTCCTGGCCATCTTTTGGGTAGTAAAGTAGCTGTATCGTATTTTTCTTTTAAAAAGATTAAAATGTGTATCCTCTCCGACATCTGGCTTTTAAAGCAATTGTGAAAATTCTACCACTGTGTTTGGTATGTTCCCATCTTGGCATAAGACATATGAGCAACCTATTGATTTTCCTCACCGTTTCGGACACCTCACTGCCAAGGTTCTGCTCGATGGTTTTTAACCACAGCAGGACCTAGAAGTGGATGGCCTTCCAAACTGGAACTCTCCTAATCACCCAAAGGCCCAGCCATGACTTGAAACTTAGTTCTCACTCCAACATCTGGCCTAGGAGCAGGTCAGGTCTCAGGCACTGGAGCAGGTCACAAGGGCTGCTGGGGTGCAGTGTCTACCCACAAGCTTACAATGACTTTATCTTTCTAAAGGAGAAATTAAAGTATCTAAGGTTTATTGATCAGCCTATTGTGATTTAGTGAGTCGGCAGAGAATGGGGAATAAAACCAATTTCCTGGCATTATTTCCCAGGCATACTGCCTTGTGATGCCTGGACTGCAAGCCAAAAATCCATCTTAGGGAATTTGATCAGAAAGTAAATGACAGGTGGTTCTAAAACCACGGAGCATTGAGAAAGTCATAAAGATGTATAATATATGATAGCATTTGCCAGCTATAAATAGGAGAGATGGGAGGTGCAGGGAGAAAAATAGAGACCTTGTAAATCTATTGGGTCAGGAGAAATAGAAACTGCTTAATATTTCATTAAAATGGATTTTCATAAATTGCACTTTGACATCTTTGGACAAAACATAGTAGGTAAGGACTAGGGTGTTGTTATTCATTACTCTTGGTTATTAATAATTTGAACTGTTATTGAGCCAACACGTCAACAAGGTATATCCTGCCTGTGAATGGAGCACTCACCGTGTGTTCTGGGCACCGTCTGAAGTGAATTAAATAGCCTCAGCCATTGCCCACAACAGCACTCAGATTATAAGGAACAATGGGTCATTCGAGTGCCCTTTTACAAAGTGGATGTTCTTAGAGGAGCTCAAACCGTGAAGACTCTTGTGGAGAAAGCTTAGAGTCTGCGGGCCAGCGAGGGAAACAGCAAGTCAACTTCTGCAGAGCCCTCACTCACAGTGAAGGACAATGTGGCCCGAGGGAGACAGAGACATTTGCCCACCTTGTGCTCCAATGGCAGCAGAGTATGCCTCCAGGGTCCTGACTAAGTGGTGGGGTCCATTTTGTTCTCTCTGCTGCACTCAGAGTGAGAGGTGTGCAGAAAGTTCCAGAAAGGTGCTGGGGTTTTTTTTTTTCTGCAAAGAGTCTGGAAATGGGGCAGACACACGGTCAAAAGCCAAAACGTAAGCAGTAAAGACCTAAACTTGGAAATATGGAGAATAATTTGAACCTAAGTTCAAAAGAGGCATTGTTTGCTCCCCGAGACTGGAGAAGAATGAGCAAAACTGAGCAGCGGAATAGAATGCCATGGGAGAGAGCTTGCTTCCCATCCTGCCTGAGGCTACGATAGGCGGGGCATGAGCCTCCACCCAAAGTTCTTGGTCACGTGCATTCATGGGGCGACAACCTCTCTCTGACTGGTGCGTCTGGACATGTTCACCCCAGTGCCCACATGCGGCACACTTACTCGCGGGCTGCCCACTACCAAGGATATTCCAGCTATGCAATCACTTTCTTAAGAAGGGAGGGTCGGGGTCAGGCATGGTGGTCTGTGAGAGTAGTGGGCACCTGTGATCCCAGCACTGTGCAGCTAAGGCAGGAGGATCTCGAGTTCAAAGCCAGACTAAACTACATCAGGAGTTCTGGGCCAACTTGGGCTACAAAGTAAGACCCTGTACCAGAAAAGGCAGAGAAAGAAGGAGGAGGAAAGAAAAGGCTTCCTAGGATTGTCTGCCAAGGCTGAGAAATGAAGGGGGTCAGACGGGATAAAATTGGATATTAAAAACACATAGGGCATGCTGTGTTCCTAAATGGTACCAGCATGGTGTATGTGTAGTGGATTAACAGCTGTGTGTGAGTTCAAATCCTTTCAGCTCTCCAATTACGTATTTATGTGCCAACGGAAGCCACCTCCAGTAGGAACTGCTTGGTGTCTCCTGATGGAGACCACACACAGTCACCATCACAATCCACAGGGAATATCCAGAGGTGGTCCTCAATGCTCACAGCACCCGTCCGAAATCAGCAAAGTGTGTCATTTGCTGCTTCCTTGCCAAAACAAAACAAAACAAACCAAAAAAATTCAAAAATGCCTCTGTTGCATGCTGAACCCTAGAAGGATTAACTCATGGTTTGAACATGGGTTCCGTTCCTCCAGCCCTTTCCCCAGCGCTGTACAGTCATTGTCAGACCCAGGAAGCAAAAAATGGGAAAGGCGAGGCGAGATCTTCCCTGGTCCCATGTTCCTCTCAAAGATTAGAATATCAAGGGGTCAGGCAGCTCTCCTCACAGGCCTCTTCCAGGTGCTGACTCTGGCATGTCTCCCTCTAGATCCTTCCTCTCCTTTGCTAGCCTTCTCTTCTCATTCCCCCCATCCCCTGTCTGCAGACAATGTACGAGCAGCAGCAGGGGTAAGCCTGGGCAAGAGGAGTGGTTCTTCTTCTGTCCCTGGGTCACAAAGCTGCAGAGGGGACCCCAGTTGCATTAGGATCCTGCATGGGAGAACTACCTAAGGGGTAGAGAGACCAGCGAGCAGGATGGTTGAGTAGGGTTCTCTCAGACAAGGTTTCGCAAGCTCAGCGAGCTGACGATGTTTGTTTCCTTTTTCCCACGTGGAACAATGTTCTTCCCCCACTTCATTTGGTTGCAGAAGGTGTGAAGCCTCTTGCTCGTTCTCCTGTCCTCTGTGGAGTGTTCTTAACTGCCTCTATCTTTTGGCCTCAGCAAATGGAAACTATGGAGGGTTCAGGGTTGCCAAATGGCGGGGCTCACAGTTTATCGAGAAGAAAAGGCTGCATTGTTGGCTGCCTGTAAGCTTGCCCCCCCCTCCACTGTTCCCAAAACCATTCTGTAGTGGGACTGTAAACTCCACATGGGATCACATCACTACTGTGACTTTACTTCTCTTTAGACCACGATAGGACGTCTAGCTGCCAGCTAGACTGTTGTAAATCCATCAGAAGAGATAAGAGTTCACAAAGGAAAACAGACTTGAATGTCATGGGTCCACACAGGGATGTGTGAGCCTCAGTTTTCCCATCAGTAAAGTAGAGGTTGTGAGTGTGGTATTCAGCCATCATGTTGACAGTGGCTGGCTTCATAGGTGTTCAAATGCACTAGGTTTCCATTTCGCTTGTCCCTCTGTCTGTGGCCTAAACACCTGCAGGGTACTGAGTGTTAAGAACTAGATAGCATAGTTTCCCTGTGCAGGAAAGAATGTTGGACCAGGAAGACTGGCCATGAGCAAATCTACAAGGTCCTGTGGTTGCTATATGTATGATAGACATGAATTAGGAATGACAGTTGGCTGCTTGTTTCTTCCATCCGCCATTATCCAGGGAAAGGAAAGAAACCCTCACACTCTCGCTTGAGTTACTTATTTTTAAGGGGAAACACACAAATACATAAGGGTCCATATGGCCACTGTTGATGTGGGCCATCTGGTAAGCTGGGGCTTGTGCCTACCATGTTAGGTCAGAAGCCACTCCCCAAAGCCTTTCCTCCCATATGAGAGGCCCCGGTCAGCTGGGGACAGGGATGGATTTCATTACAGACTGCAGGCTAAACTAGGAGGAAGCTGGAGCATGACTCTTAAGAGGCTGCCTCCAACAAAGAGGAGAGAAAACCCAGAAAAGTGTTGACTGACAGAAGGTACAGGGTAGACAGCACCCCTCACCCCTCGCCCACTCAGAATGGGGAAGTGTCTAAGGAGTTAACAAAACAGCAGTGAAGTGTTGTGCAGTTAGAAAAGGCGCTGCAAGCCCCCACCCCCGTGTGCCTACATCATGAGGACGAGGGAGTGTCAAGTTCAGGCTGGAGTGTGAGGTCTGCCGGCCCTGACAGATGACAAGTCTACCTCCTTTGTAGTGAATGCTCTTTTTTCTCTTTCTTAGCTTCTGAAGTGTTTGCCCTTTGAAAGCTCCTTCCTCTGTTTGCTCTCAGCCCAGAAGCAAAATATTCCTTCCTTCCAAAACTTTTTGCAAAGTTTGTTTTTGTTTTGTTTTCAAGTTAGAGCAGAAGGAGAAATTGACCTTTTTTTCCACAGTTATTCTAAAAAGCTCAACGCGACAAAGCCCCTGGTGGTTTCCAGGCTGGTGGCCCTCTCTGACCGCTCAAGCGTGGCCCTCAGAAACAGGAGTGTCACTGACGCTGCTCTGCCTCTCACCTTGCAGGTGTTTCAAGCTAACAACGATGCGACTGAGGTGGTTCTAAACAAGCTCCACACGCCCCTGCTCACAAGGTTCGTCAGGATCCGCCCACAGACGTGGCACTTGGGCATCTCCCTTCGACTGGAGCTCTTTGGCTGCCGAGTCACAGGTGAGTTGAGGGGTTCCTGTGAGACAGGAGAAACAATTCTAGGCATCTCCCGCTCTGTGACCTTCCCAAAAGGAATGGCTGAAAGGTCAACTCCCATCAGACTTAATCCTTTCATTTATTTTTTCAACCTTCCATTCATCTAATGTGTTTTTATTATGCTAGAGCTAGTTCTGCTTAATGAAATGGACTGAAGGAAAATTTGATACCCAACGCTCGTCCTACTATAAGTGTGCTATCTATTATTCTTAGTAGAACTCAGTGGCATAAGTCTTGTCATTTCCCTCACTTTACACAATAGGAAACCAGAGTTAAGGAACTAAATCCCAGTAAGTGATGGCACCAGGGTTTGAACTTGCCTCTCAAATAGTGCCCTCTCCTGTCTCACGTGGAGACTAAGGTCTAGACATGGTACTGTAGACTCAATGGGAGCGTGACAGACCCAGTCCTTTTATTGAAAAGTTGGATGGACAAATTAATAACCAGAAAGATGATAAATAAATATAAATTTAAAAAAACTCTGAAGACTATCTGAGCACAGGGCCTTGTGGTCCTCAAAGTGTTCTGCAGTGTGCTTGCCTGGCAGGTCAAGAAAGACTTCCTTGAGGATGGGTTACTGAGGTCAAAGGCAAATGAGACACTACTTCCTGAAGAAAGATTGGAGGGCAAATCCCTGCTTGTTTGTTGTCATTGTAGCAAGGGAACTGAGAACGGTGTTTGAGGATAGTTCTGAAGGAAAAATGGTGCTCGAACGGTTTTAACCCAAGGACTGTGTGTTGGCAATCCCCGGAGTGGGAGGCGGAGCCTTTGTAGGCTGGTACCATGGTCTAGCACCATGGCAGTTGGACTGGCAATAGTAGGACTGTATACAGGTCATTTCCACTCTTTGAACTCCATCTAGGAAGGCAGTTGCTCCTTTGACCTGCAAGGGTCTTCATTGTCCGTCTCCTACCTGTCTACTTGCCACCCCATCTCTGCCTAGGAATGCACCATGGTGTAATCCTGCTTCTGGTTTCTGGTTCATGTACCCCGTGGCTGCACTTTCTCTCCATCTCTCACAACTCTGCCCTGTAATTTACCTGCAGTTAGGAAGGACGGGCAGATCTTCATAACGCCTAAGGTGATGCTGATGAAGAAGTTAGAAAGGCAACAGTTTGACCCAGACCATCATCCATTCCTGAGGCAACGGAGTCAGGATCTGTATCCATTGTTCCTCAGTACAAATCCTTTGTCACGTTCAGACAAAGACCTGGCTTTCTCCTTGTGGAGACATTTTATCCCAAAAGGACTGTCTTCTGTCCCTTCTGTGCTGCTGGCCTACCCAGCAGGCGACAATGAGCAAGGATTTACTTAGCACTTGTGGTCCATTCATTCCCTGTTCCCTCAGTCACTCCATAAAGACCCTGCACTGAGACTTGAGATAGAGAAGTGAACAGAAAGAGGTCTCAGGTGTCAAAGAACTTTCAAGCTAGTGGCCAAGATAGATAGCAAACCAATACAAGAAGGCATAATTACGAGCTAGCGTACAGGTTCTCTGAGGAGTGGAATGAAAGTTTGGCCGGAGCCTAATGTGGGCCTTATACCCCAGGTGAGCAGAGGTCAGTCTGGTAGTGAATACGGACGAACGTATCAGGTGATGGAGAGAGTTTAGGGAGGATCCAAGGCAGTAAAAAGCTCTGGTCACACACATGGAGGACTTGGTTCTGAGCCCAGAAAGGTTCCCATCTTTTAAGCAAAATGATCTTCCAGGAAATAATTTGATTCTTGCCTCCTAAGCACCACTGTACTCATTGAGGGTCGGTGGAAACTGGTGTCACAGATGGACATACATTCTCAGAAGTCCTGGTCAGCAGTGAGTGCAAACGGCTAACAGTCACAGAGCCCTTAGACCTGCTCTGAGGTGACCAACAGAGTCCCCACCACAGAGGTAGGCACTGTTGGGGGAGCCCATTTAGACTTGGGGAACTTGATGCATGGAGCAATTAAATCACTTGAACAAAGTCACCAAGCACAGTGAACACAAAACCAGGCATTCTGGGTCCAAGTTCAGACTCTGAGTCACAATGCTATACAGCCTCAGAATGCAAACTAAAATAGTAAGCACATGGCCTGAGATCTGACGATCTGTTTAATGAGTGGGCTTCAGCCATGACTTGTGGTCTTTCCCTTGTCTCTCCTAGATGCACCCTGCTCCGACATGCTGGGGATGCTCTCGGGCCTCATCGCTGATACCCAGATCTCCGCCTCCTCCACCCGAGAGTACCTCTGGACTTCCAGTGCTGCCCGCCTGGTTAGCAGCCGTTCTGGCTGGTTCCCGCGGAACCCTCAAGCCCAGCCAGGTGAAGAGTGGCTTCAGGTGGACTTGGGGACACCCAAGACAGTGAAAGGTGTCATCATCCAGGGAGCCCGTGGAGGGGACAGCATCTCTGCCATGGAAGCCAGGGCATTTGTTCGAAAGTTCAAAGTCTCGTACAGCCTAAATGGCAAGGATTGGGAATACATCCAGGATCCCAGGACTCAGCAGCCAAAGGTAGGCCATTCTCAGAGAACTCTAATGCCATTCTAAAGGGAGGTTAAGTAGGGTGCAGGGAGTTAGGGAGCTGATTTCCCATCTAGCAGTCACCATCAAACCCCATCAGCCCAATAAAACAAGTATCAACCAAGAGACTATGATGTGCCAGACCTGGTTTTTAAATTGAACCCCTTCTTAGTAGCTACAATCTTTCTACAAAGTTTATTATTTGGTCATTCACATTTTGGAGATGACAGAACCGAGGCTTATGTTATATCCAAGTCCACACTGTTTACCAGTGCCTGAAACCAAAAACTCAGACTTCAAAACCCAGACACTTAACCAGTGCTCAACACTGCCTGCTTATGAAGTCCGGGGCTCTTCTCCGCATCTTCTGGATAGAGTTTCTTTGAAATGGGCCAGACGTCCCAAGGGGATGTGGTTCTTGGAGGCCAAGCTATAGAAACTGCGAGTTACTTCCAAAAATAACTGTTTTTTTTCTGAATGTTACACTCTTTGAATTTCCTTAGTCTTGATTGCTCAGATCTTTCGCGCCGCTCACCCTGAGTATAAAAGAAAGAAAGAGAATGATGCTGGGCCAGAATTACCAGGCCAGTGCAGCCTACCCCTGCCATGAGAGAAGGGAAGGCTGGCCTTCACCTTAGCACACTAGGAGTCCCAGAAGGAAGAGCACTTCCTGTCTCTTCCCCTTTCCGATTCATCTCCTGGTAGGCTACTTGGTCCTCATTTCTGTAGAAGTACAATATCTTTAACAAGGGAAGGAGTCGTCCCTGTGATAAGCAAGGCTTTACTTTCTGAATGCAGAGGCTAGGGTTAGGTTGGAGGTTTTACAGTACTGATGTGTACTTCCAGCTCACAATTCCAGGGACTTGGAAAGACTTGGGGTTTGGAAACCAGAACCTTCAACCAATAGAGCAGAAACTGGACCACAAGTTCCCTGGTGACAGCTAACCGTGGCTCTTTTTGGGAAAGAAGTGATTTGGGCCAGTTTCAGAGCACGTCCTGCCTAAGGCAGACTATGCATCCTGAGTACCTGCAGATGGCTGATCCCCCAGGCATTCCTGGACATAGCCACCTCAGCACCTGTACTCTTCCTTTGTGAAGGACTCTGATGTGGTTCTAGGTGGAGTTCCCACACAGTTCCAACTTCTCTCAGCAATTTTATGCATTGGCAATCTAGGAGGGGTTTCTTTTGGTAAAATTACTCCTGATAAATGGAGGTCTAGAAGACAGTCTTGGGCCATCAATTTGTAACCAAGAAGATGGTGTTATTACCCTAAAGAGGCAATGGTCATTTATCTTTCAGACTATCAGTGAGTTGGGAACTATTGGTCCCTGGGATCCTTTTGTCCCTATGCTTCTGGGAATTAAACAACCCGTAGGGCCTCATTCATGCAGGCAAGCACGCCACCAGTTGAGCTACATGTTGGAGTTTCCTCTGATTTCTACATCCAGAATAGCCTCAAGACTGCAGGCTGAGATGATCCAGCCTCACAGAATATTCCAGTCAGAACTTGACCATAATCCTAAATTTTCTTTGGGTCCCCATAAGATTATCATGGCCCCCAAATCATCAGGAAGTAGCCTAGAAAACTACGCCCACAATCCCAAAAAGTGGATTATGGATGTTGTCTTTGTTCGGCATGTTGGTTACACGTTGTTATGGACAATGGTTAGAAGAAAAAGCTTAACAAAGGAGACTAGACTCAAGGTCTTGTTTTGAAAAGAAAAAAAGGGAAAATGCCATGGGATAGTTCTTTTGTACACTATAAAGATTTGTCACTCATACTAGTTTAATAAAACACTGATTGGCCAATAGTCAGACAGGAAGTATAGGCAGGGCAACCAGACTAGGAGACTTCTGGGAAGATGAAAGGCAGAGACATAGTTGCCAGCCAGAAACAGAGGAAGCAAGATGAGAATGCCTTACTGAGGAAAGGTACCAAGCCACATGGCTAAACATAGATAAAAATTATGGGTTAATTTCAATTGTAAGAGCTAGTTACTAATAAGCCTGAGCTAATAGGCCAAATAGTGTTGTCATTAATATAGTTTCTGTGTGATTATTTGGGTCTGGGCCAGTGGGGAAACAAAAGCTCAGTCTCCATCTACAGCTATATTCTCATCTCATTCATCAAAGCATTAGAAAAAGAAAACACTTCTTTTAAAAATAAGGCAAGGAATCTGGACTGTTAGACACAGCCATCCCTGCCTTCTGTTCTTCCTGGCCAAGGTCAGCTTAAATCACATTTGGAGCTTAGACCTCAGCTGACTATGGCCACTCTAATGCTCCCCAATTTCCATATTGCAAGGTCCCTCCTGGACTTTCCAAATGAACCAAGACCTTGATTTGACATGAAGTCACGTGGTAATGCTCCAGGAATCAACCAGAAAGCTGACTTCTGGGTTAGCTGTGGTGGTGGGGAGAGGTGAGTGGAGAGGAAACCCTCAGGAGGAAGGCTGAGCAACCTGTCTCCCTACAGCTGTTTGAAGGGAACATGCACTATGACACCCCCGACATCCGAAGGTTCGATCCAGTTCCGGCACAGTATGTGCGGGTGTACCCAGAGAGATGGTCACCAGCAGGCATTGGGATGAGGCTGGAAGTCCTGGGCTGTGACTGGACAGGTAAGGGGGGTTTCTTCTTCATATCTTGCTCACTTGGCCTGATGGTCTTGGCATCCTGGCAGGGGACAGGGCAGTCAGTCTTCACTGCATACCTACTGCTGCATTCTCGGGCCACCTCTGAACTTCGAGAAATCCCTCAAGGGAAGCGTTTTTGTCCTTTGTCGAGGACCACTTCAGTTCCTCAGCATGAGTCTCTAGAAAGACAAGTCTTAACTACCCACCGCCTACCCAAATTCAATTAGACCCCAGCTCTTCAGGCCAGGGACAGTGGCTGTTGATTTAGGAAAGAAAAACCCTCTCATGACAATAAAGTAATCGGTTTATGTCTGAATCTGGCCTCCAGATGTCAGAGACTCAGACTGCATTTTCCTTTCAAAGCTACATTTGTAGATGGCTTGTTTGCTCAGGAGGGACGCTGGTGCAGGGTGTATCTTCCCAGTATGTAACCCTGCTAGGTAACACAGGCTGGGGCAAATGCCCCCATGAATTCTCCCTGTGAGGGTGAGGCCGCAGAGCTCTCACCCTTACCCCTGCTGGTTGCTGAAGGATGGAAGACCCTACCTACCCTTCTGAGTCAGGCCCTACCTTGCCTCTGGCCACTGGCCCTTCTCCTTCCGCAGAGATGGCACAGCCTGGCAAAATGAGCTTTTGGGGAGCCATCTGGAGCTCAGACCCCACCCAGCAGGCATGGCTCTCCTGCTTCTCCTCACCAGGGCCCCAGGTATTCCCATTTTCCTGTCTGCTATACCTGTCACTGGCTCAGGCGACAGGAAGGCGTGAAGGATTAATAAGGGCATGTCAGGGGAGTGCTTTTGGCTCCCGGGGAGAAAAGTGCTGCCTGTGTGCCGGCTGCAAACACACAGGGGAATCCTGTGCAGAGGCGCAGGCCAGGAGTGGGGCCCCAGTTCACCTCTAGGCTTGGAATCCCTACTAGGAGGAAGACTCACTGTCCCCCAGCACCGCACACACACACACACACACACACACACACACACACACACACACACACCTGTAAGGGTAAGGCTAAGCCCCCCAATGCCTGAATGCTTATCACCTTTGCCTCATAGATACTAAAAACCTACCTCAGACACAAACTAGTTTCCTTCACCCAGAATTAAAGCTACAGAGGACCCAGAAACGTCTAGGCTCATAGCTTCCAAACATGTTTGACCATGTGCCTCAAGTTAAGCTGAATTTCCAGTGAAACACCACCTTCATTGACAAGCACGCACATACATGTGCACACGTGGGAAGTTCTCGGATGCCAGAAACAGATTACTAAGCTCAAGTCCTTCCCTGGCAGTAGGGGCAGAACCTAGGACAAATTACTTCCTCTCTTGCCTGGAAAGCGGGGGTGGCACCAGTCCGTCTCGAAGCCCCACAGCTGTCGTGAGGGTGGCAGGAGCATTTAGACTGCTGGCCAACACTGGCAAACCTAATGGAAGGAGTTTCTCTCACACACCAAGCAGTACTCAACCTTACCATGCGAGCCACCCTGATAGACTGCAGCTCCGACTCCTAAAAGGCGCCGTAACCCATTAAACCCATTCCGTGACCTACCGCCCTTTCACAGACTGGGAAACAGTCCCAGGAAGGTCACCCAGCCAGTTGGGAACTAAGTCCCATTTCTCTCTGGCCCCTTCTCTTCTGCCCCATGCCCCTCCCAGACTTATGGCCAGCTGGACGTTTGCTAATGTCCTCCTCCCCTGATTGTCCCTCCAGCCACGACCTGCCCCAGATTGCCCTGGTGACAACCACGGGTTTCCCATTTCAAAGTCCAGCCCTGCTCTCGGAAGATCAGAGTCGAGGCGTGTTAGCTTCTGCCCAGGCTCTGAGTCTTTGAAGTCTCTGACATCTGGTTTTAATTTTGGAGGAACGCTGCTGTTTGGTGGGCAGTTACCTCGGAGCACCCAGTACAAACAGTGGGCACAGAAGCTGTCCCCCGTTTCTTCACTTTCCCTCACACACCCTGCCCTCCGGTCACCTCACCGGCCCTTCACTGCCCCTGGGTTTCACTTTATCTCTCCCCACCAGCTGACCAGTGTCTCCTGAATTAGTTCTTAGTACGTATTCTTCTTGTTTTTAGCATTTCCACCTCTGCCTGCAACTCGTCCTTGTTTCACTTGGAAACAGAAACACTGAAGGGCTTGGCTGAGCGGGTTTGGTAAATAGTTTGACAGGGCTGCTCCACCTGTTAGCCGGTGCGTTTGGGTTTCAAATGATCCCTTCTCTCCCAGCCACCCTTAGTTTGCTTTACAATTGAGTCTGAGATTCGGTGGCGCGGTGACAAACGTGAACTCACGAATTAGGACGCTTCGAGGTTATTTGCTATCTACTTCGAGCAAAAGGCAGACACGGTAGTGGGGAGCACGAGAGGTTACGTGCGTAGTATTTAATAGCAGAAAGGTGGGAAGTCGACCGTGGAAAGTCTTTTCAGCATTTCTACCCTTCCCTCAGCTCCCGACTTTATTAAATAGTATCCTGAAGGGTACCCCACAAAGACACCTAACCACATGCACTAGCGCTAAGGAGCTTGTACAAAGGCAGGGGGAACAATGGCCTCACTTCTTCAGGGCATCTACTTGGAGGAACTCTCGGGTATACTCACCACCTCTGCACAACACACAGGTTTCCAGACCCTCCCGCCCCACCCATGACCTGACTCACAACCTCATTCATTCCCGAAATAGTTGATGAATGAGCGGCCCAGTGAGCCAATAAACAAGTGATCGGATGGGTGTGTGAATCACCTCTGGCCCAGGTGAAAATGGGCGGCCTACAGCATGCTTTGACCTAGTCAGGTTTTTTTTTTTGTGTGTGTGCTCCTATTATAACATTTGTTATAAGTTGCCAGCATTTGGGAGCCTGGAGTTTTTACTAAGGGTTGGTAGGCTTCTCTGGCAGTGGGGGTGGGGGATTTTAGAAGAGCTAGCCAGACTTGTTATCTCTTCTTTGGGCCTCTGTCTTTTGAATCAAGTCTGGTGCCTCGGTGCCCCTTTGCCTGCGGCCACTCTCTGCACTACACCCGACTCTTCCCACCCCAGTCAGCTCCCCTGCAGAACAATAACTGTATCCAGTGGGTGTTTTAACTTGCCATTCCTTGACTAGAAGGTGTAGCCCAAATTACTTCACCTAGCCCGAGTCTCTTTAAATCTATTTTCCCATCTGTCCATGGCCACAAAACACCAACGGAGTCTGGATTTGGGGTTCTTAAGCTGCTATTTTGCTTACAACTTTGGTGACAAGTGCTTCTGATTATTTTATTGTAGGTGGGCCCCACAGGCCAAATTGTTTTATGGAGTTAGTTTTGAGTCCAAATAAATCCTGTCTAGCATGGTGAAAATGTGTTTTGTAAGAAAGCAGAGCCAAGCAGCGAGGCCCACCAGCAGTCATGAAACAGCAGAGTGCTTGGGGCCCATTTCCCATGTAACCTCAATAAGCATAGAGATTTTTCAATTGATTTTGGTGCGCGGCATTTTGATCATGTGCCCTACACCACTTTGGGGTCAGTGTCATCCGCCCCCATGGCTGCCACTACTGTGCTGCCCTTAGAGCCTCCAGGGTGGGGTCAGGAGCATGGCTTCGTGCCCATGCCTGTTGCAGCTTCTCCAGGAGTTCTGGACTGTTGTCGACGGAAGCGACCGTCACGGCTCCACTGACCGTTCCCAAGGGCGAGCTCAGGTTGTGTGCACACCTGTGTGTCTTCCCTTTCCTGCTCACAAGCTCACACCTAGAAAGAAGGTTCTAGTTTCTGGCTTCCTCCCCTGCCGGGTCACAGAACATCCTGCTGGAGCATTTTTCTTTCTCCCTTCCCCCGCACGCAGACTCAAAGCCCACGGTGGAGACACTGGGCCCCACCATAAAGACGGAGGAGACTACCACCCCATATCCCACGGACGAGGATGCCACGGAGTGTGGGGAGAACTGCAGCTTTGAGGACGGTAAGCATGCCCATGCTCCTCACAGTTCACCTGGGGTGGTCTGGGTGTGGACCAGGCAAGAGCTTGACTTACAAGAGGGTTCACGGAGGTGCAAACACTCACAGGCCTGAGGCTGTGGCTGCTAGGAACACTCAGATGTTGTACCAACTAGTATAGCCCTATAGATTTAAACCCGCTGCTAAGAGGAAGGCTCGCATCCTCGCTGTCTTGATGAGTTAAAGTAAAAGCAGCCCCAGCCCAAGAATTAAGAGCAGGAAGAGCTTCACCTGTTAGCTTGTGTCTCAGCCGTATGAAGACCTGGTGCCCTTCGTAGGTGAGGGTCATTTTCCGTGATAGCCAATTTAGTCCACCAATTAACCAGAACCAAGGCACTTCCCTGTGTCTTGCAATAGCCTTGATTTACAAAACTGTAGCAGGATGATTCTGCCAGACTGTGTGTCACATCTCAAAGGCCTGGGACAAAGGCAGGATGTGAGGGACCCTCAGCCAGTTCTCAAAAACCCAAGATGTTAGTGTTTGGATCATCTCTTCGCATGGGAAATCTTTATTCTCCTTTTTGCCTTTGTCTTCCAAACATATCCAAGGTAGATAAAGCCAGTGGTTGGAAGATCTGAAAAGCAGGGGCTGTTTTTATTCCTACTGTTCAGGTCTCCATGTATTAAGGACACTCCGAATAAGTCACAACTTATTACAGCACCTGGCATTCGGGGTTGGACTTTTTAAGTTTGACAAACTCAGTTTACATCAAATTGCTGATTATTATTAAATGTTCATTAAACATAATGAGGAACGGTTAGCAAAGAAGCTTGAGGAGGGACTTAAAGATGTCCTTAGCTGGTGGAGCCAGGGAACCTGCTCACAGCCGGAGGGCAGCATGGGAAACTACCCGGATGGTATGCAGGGCTCCGGAAATTATTCAGTAGGAAGAGTGGGGTGAAAGCCAAAAATTAATGCTGAAACTGTGGGGCTGAAAACTGAGAATCGAATGCATGTGTTTTAGGGAGTGTGCTCTGGTATATTGTATGGGTAGGGGACACTGTTGGTCAGAGTTAGCTGAATACAAAACCTTGACATTTTAATGAACTTGTTTTAGTTTCATAAGGAAAAGTGGAGAATCTTCCAAGACATGTCCAAGACAGAGAGCCGAAAAAGAAACACACGGGTTAACGCATGGTATTAGATTCAGAGTTAGCGTGGCAGGAGCACGGGAATGGGGAGCCTAGCTGAACGGCAATCCAAAGGAAAATTTAAGGGTTCTGCTGCAAAATTTCAGAAGTTTATTTTTAATATAATTTTACCGTTTACAGTGGTTTGTTTGATTTGAGGTTTCTTTGATGGTCCCTCCCTTCTTTTAGTAAAAGATCTTTTTGTGGAATTTAGTTCCTGAGATATAGTATGCATATAAACATTGCAGAGGAATTATGGTATATTGAATTACCCTGTATTTTTGAATGGAAAAATAGACATGTGGAGAAGTTTGGAGAGAAGGAGTGGTGAGGGCTAGAGCCTGACTTTCCCAAGCCACAGGTTGATGTTTCTGTGATGGGTTCCATGTGTTTCCTTTCCACTCCAGCTGACTTTGGCTAAGGGTGGGCCAACATTAAATGTTCCCTCGTGGGCAGGCGGGACACGGTAGGGTCTGCGGGCAATCTGCGTCCTGCTGCTGAGATCAGCAGTACCCTTGCCTCTAAAGCCAAGCATCCTCCACCCCATGGTGGGCAAATTCGTCTCTACCCAGCTGCTGTTGCCTTTAGACCATTCTTAACCTTCCCCGTGGAAATTCTTCTCTGGGAACTTAGGGAGGGAAGTGAGAAGGCCAAAGACCCCCGTCCCCTGGGCTACTAGCATTGCTAACTCTGTTCCTCTGTCCTGGCAAGTATCCAGGTTTGGGCTCCCCTTTTCTCTTTCACCGCCTTTGGACCACCCCTTTATTAATTCCAAGGTTAGCATTAACTCATACTGTGTTTTTAGATCTGGGTGGAACCCCAGAGGAAACCCACTTGGTTCCGCCAACTCTCTAGAGCAGCCAGGGTGAGCTATGGTGGTCACTGTGTCGTGCTACAGACAACATTTTCTTCCCTCTCGGCTCTCAGGGGCTCTGCACGTGTGTTGCGCAGTAACTGGCATGACAGGCCTGAGCCTCCAGCCTAGCAGATTAAAAACTTGCCCCATCCTACTCAGCTCAGGAGATTTCCCGCCTGACAACGCCAAACTATGCCATCCCTCCGGAATAAGGGCTGTGTCTTTGTCTCAGCCAGAAGTTCCCCGGCATTGAGGTCTCCCCATCACTTCTGAGAGCCCGGCTGGCGGGACTTGAGATGATCCTCTCAGGAGCCAGTAGTCCACTGAAGACATTCTTCCCTGGCATCTTAGGGAGTAGCAATTGGTAGACAGAGGAGGCTGATTAGACCCTGAAGCCATTTGGGGGTCTCTTTATAATTGTTTACTTTGGGAACCACTGGCCGACTTGGTTTTCATGCTGGGAAGGATGAGACCAAAGCCTGACCTGAAAGTCAGCAATCGCCAAGATGAGTGAAGTAAATGAGCAAAGGGAACCCCTTCTTTCTGCGCTTCATGTTCAGGCCTTGCCAGCTGTTGAAGGGCGTCGCCGTGGCTGCATGCTGGGCCCCTTTGCTTGCCGGCCTTTTGGTTACTTTTATTCTCCTTTTAGACAAAGATTTACAACTCCCTTCCGGATTCAACTGCAACTTTGATTTCCCCGAGGAGCCCTGCGGTTGGATGTACGATCATGCCAAATGGCTCAGAAGCACCTGGATTGGCAGTGCCAGCCCCAATGACCGAACATTTCCAGGTAAGGCAGCTGAGACATCCTATGAAAGATGGAAGGCCAGCCTTCCGTCATCATCCTGACTCCCTTGCAAGCTTCCTAGCTTCCCACCACAGGGCAGTTTTCCCACAGTCATCCATCCGCTCACGCCTGGCTGGTCGGTGGCTCCTAGCATACTCAGGATTTCAGGCCAGTCTGAAGTTGCTAGAGATAAAGAGAAACCAGGATAACTGAGAGAAGCAGCCTTGGGAGGTTTTTAGGAGATGGTAGGCGTCCTCTAGTGTCCTCTTGTTCCCTCAGCCAGCTCTGGCTACTTCTGTCTCATTAACAGGTGCCTTCTGGAAATGTTTTAACAATAGGCTTTCCAGGGATTGAAACAAAACCCCAAACTTGTATGATAAGGTGCACACACATTCAGTGGTAAAAATACTCTCCCCACAGTTCAGTGGGTCACAAACACAGGGGGTGGGGCTGGGACATGCGATGACAGGGCTCAGGGATTGTATTTTCACTCTACAGATGCAAGAAACCTAAGCTACCTCTGTAGACGAATATACTGAAATGATCAGGAGATGTTGAGTTGATGGTATTTAATATTCTCCTTTTTAATATAATTTAATATAGCTTATGTAATTTTTAATAATGATTATATTTAATTGGCTGGTAAAGTTTCAGAAAATTTAACAAGTGGCGTTCACAAGCCAGTATGTGTTGGTCCAAAACACTCTGATTAGCTTTCAATTTTCATCCACCTCCTGCCTGGCTCTCAGATGCCCATAAACAAGCCTTTGGGAGAAAAGAGGGTTAATTCTGGAAACTTAGCAGGCTAAATGTTGATGAGGTGCACTGGGAAAAGACTAGAAAGTGGGAAGGGGAGGGGCTCCCCTCTTCCTGGCTTCTTCAGAGCTGCCCCCACCCAAGCTCTGATGGTGCCCCCGTCCCTAGGAGTTCAGGAGGAAGGCAGGCTTAGAAGAGCACTTGGGGCCGGTCTTCCACCACAGCCCACACTTGCCTTCCCAGAGGGTTACAGCATCTGCTCTGAAGAAAAACATTTTCCTATTTCAAGTGTTTATCTCTTCAGCCTTTGAGTGCCCGCTCAGAGATTGTATCTGAGGCTCAGCACAGCCTCAGGCACATGAGAGGGAGCACTTACCCCAGTCCCGGCTCCAATCCCCTCCCGGCCTTGCGCTCTGCAATAATGTTTAATTAATATAATGAGCCTCCTGCACGTCGGGAAGAAAAATACTTATTTTTATAACCCAGCCAGGATTTTTCGTTTCATTTCCTCTCCTTTGAGACTGGGTCCAATTAATTGGTGGTTTTCCCCAGCCCCCATCTTTATCTGAATGTAAGGAAGGTGAATGAGGTATGTGTTTGCATGTGTTTATATTTTTGTCTGATGGCGAGATAGGGATTGAGGAGGGGAGGGTTCTAAGGTGCAGCTTGGCTGGGGCACTCTGAATAAGGTTGTACTCATGGAGTCTGTGAGTGGGAGGATTGATCATTTCTTATCCAGGCCCTGCTTTTAGTCCTTTCTAATCCTCTGCCCCCCCCCATACTTCTAAAAAGGTTTCCTCTGGGGGTGTCTGAGGCTAGCCCTAGACTACAATGCCACCAGCAAGCAGGCAGCGGTTCTGTTACCTCCCCTCTGCCATAGCCTGCACCTCTACCCACTTTATTAGACCCCACCCTCACCTCAATACCTGGTCCCTGGACCCTTGCTTCGCTACTGGTTGGGAAATTGTAGTCTTCGTCTTCGTTTTAGCTGATTCATTTCGCCCTGCAGTTGGATAGGGCTTCTGGGAGCAGGCTAAGGAATGGGCACAGTTCCAACCTTTGATGAATAGGATAGATGGGGACAGAAAGAAAAGTAGGGCGACACGGAAGTGCTGGATCTAATGATGAGAAGGAAAACGCTTGTGTTCTCCTGGAGTTTAGGAAAGCGACTTGTGACCCGACCCCAGTAAACAAAGTCACAAGTTTGTTTTTGGAATCCTTCCCTTTATCTTAGGATGGTTAGAACACCCATCTTCTCTGCTTCCGACTGTCCTGCTTACAAAACTCCATATCACACTGTAAGCAGACGATAGAACCCTTTCTAGCAGTGAGAAAGGAAACAGCTGTGCTGGGCTCAGGTCGGGGACGACGCTGATGGGTGCAGAAGGCCTGGCGCCTGTCCCCAAACCTGAGAGCCACAGTGCCACCTGACTGTGCTCTTCCACAAAGAGAGGACAGAGCCATTGTTCTCTGGAAGCACACAATATGCTTCACTTCTTCATAAGAAGGTAAACAGACGCCTTGGCTGAGAGAAGGAAGGACAAGGGAAACGGGGCGGGGCGAGACGGCCATGTTGAAGCACAACACAAGTGTCCATGGAAACTACTTCCATTGCTCAGATGTTTTCTGATGGAGTTGTTTTCTCGCTCTCTTTCCTTTTTCTGCTCCCTTTTAAGCCCGCAGTTAGCTCTGTCCCTTTGCCTAGTGGTAATGGTTGCTCCAGGCTGACAAGACACTCACTGGTTTCATTCCACTGTTTTTGTTTACCAACATCAGTCTTTCAAGCCACTCAGAATTTCTTTTTTTAGCTCTTGTGGCTGAGCTGCCTAGAGTGTTCATACCAATGCCCCTCCCACTGAGGGGGGGGGAATGTGTTCCAAACTCAGTGACCCCCTGGTGGTAGCCTAGGAGCCTGTCCAGCCTCTCTGACAAGTCACTTGCCTTCCCTCTGAAGCTACAATGGCAGCAGCGTGTGCTTAGTAGAACAGACGTATTTTCTACAGACATTCTCTGAGGCTTTGATATAAATTGTTCCAAGAATGATGAGAGAGAGCTGGGTCTATAAGGAAGGATACAAGCACCCCTTGAGGTGATAGGGTGGGCCTGGTATCTAGTTCTCCAGCGTTGGGTAAGGGAGTCCCCGACTGTTTGTGGCTACTTCTATTGTAATTTTAAAGAGTTTCATAATTTTAAAATGGTTTCAGCTGACTCTTAAGTTCTGCCGCGGCACTGGTCCCTTTTCAGGGATGCAGGGCCCACACTGCCCATATGTGGACCACGTTGTCATCCCATACTGGATTAGACAGTACCACTATAGCAATATATTAGGGAGATGAATCTGCCTGCACTGGTTCTTGAAGTGTTGTACTTGGTGGCCGCTATTTTGATTTCCCTATGTACTCCACTCTGTCTCCCTCCGCAGCCATGGGAAATAACCAAGGGGCATAACATTAAGGACTATTTGGGGGTCCCACAGAAATAGTATCCTAAGTCAACAGTCATACCAATAGTATTGATAGTTGTTGTTTCTATGATCATTATTACTGTCAAGAATGAGGTAAGGCCTGGGACTTGTGGTGTTCTCATGTAATCTCAGCTACTTGAGAAACTGAGGCAGGAGGACTGAAAGTTTAAGGTCTGTGTGGGCTGCTGAGTTCAAAACCACCTTAGGTAGTTTTGCAAGACCCTGTCTGAAAAGGAAAAGAAAAAGGAGAGCTGAGGTTGTAGCTCAGTGGCCAGAGTGTTTGCCTCATGTCTGGAAGTGCCTGGGTTCGATTCCCAGCTTCACTGGGGGGGAAGGGGAGCGAGAGGAGAGGAGGTAAGACCATAGATTACAGAATTATCCCGTACAGCTTCCTGGGATCTGGAATGTACGCTCTTTTAAACATTGTTTGACCTTGTGAAGTGGGATTACAATGTTACTTTACTTCACTGACCAAGAGCCATGAAAGCATCTAAAGAAAACAGGCAAAGCCTGCTTGGACTAGAACACCCTTATGAAGCTGTGCCCAGCTCAGGGAAGGAGCCTAGACAACTGTGCCTTTACTTGGGTTCAAAGGAAGCTCAAGTGGGAGTAAGCCAAGAATCGAAACATTCGGGTTTACACTTGTTGGCCGTCCCTCGCTGGGGTTGTTTGGATGCAGATTTGGTTGCTGATAAGCTCCAGCAGAGTGGGGGACCAGAGCTGATGCACCATGTGTGTGCAAGGGAGAGTATAAAGGGAACTGTACCTGAGTGTGGCTGGTACAAGTTCATGCAGAAATCAAAGGAAACAGCGGAAGGATGCGCTCACCGTAAGCTTGAGTTTTGACAGTAAGCTAGCCATGCATTTGAAATTCTGAGTCTAAAAATCTCTCTCTGAGCTCAAAAAAATCAGGTATGAGCTGGCAATTCAGACACTTGAATGGCCTCAGTACAGGGGTTCTCAACCTTCCCAATGCTGCGACCCTTTAATACAGTTTCTCATGTTGTGATGAGCCCCAATCATAAAATTATTTCTTTGTTACTTCATAACTGCAATTTTGCTACTGTTATGAATCGCAGTGTAAATGTCTGATTTGCCACCCTGTGATAGGATCATTCGACCCCCTCCACACAAACGGGTCAAGACCCACAAGTTGAGAACCACTACCTCTGAATGAATTACCTTCAAAGGGGGTTGCTGGAGGACAGAAAACTGGGGCTGTGGACCCATAATAGATTACTAAAGGACAGGGAGAGATGAGCTAAAAATAAACAATAGTCAAGGGATAATTTGAGCTAGACAAGGAAAGACTAGAAACCTCTTGTAAGATGGGAGAAATACATTCCTTGTGTGGAAAAGATGACGAGAGAGAAGCTGCTGTCCCCGTTTCCTGAAAACCACGAAAGACCGACTTGATAAGCAAGCGTCAGAATGAGAACAGAGCTATCTACACAGCAGAACTTTCTGTGGAAGCTGGCACATCCAAAAAAGTGTCTCCAGGTAGCTGCCTGCAAGTACTGGTCAGGCTGAAGACTTAAATGTCTGTGGAATGTTCTATCATAAACCTTGAAAACATCCTGCCGAGTTCATCCAAAGTCAATGTTTCCCTTAACTGCTTGTTAATTTGAGGACCTTAGCAGAGATAGGCTGACCTTGGGAGGCCGGCTGAGGGGCTGACTCATGTTTTAAGTATGACCTATACTAAGAGGCTCCGTCTCCTGCTTCGCCAAATATTCTTTCAGATGGCTGTTCTAGTAGGAGGGCAAGATGCTAGCCAGGAGAT